ACTGCACTCCAGTCTGGGTGACAGAGTGAGACTCCAACTCAAAAAAAAAAAACATAAAAAATAAAAATAAAAAAATAAATGGTGTTCTTTGAAGCACAAAAGTTTTTAATTTTGATTAAGTCCAACTTATCTGTTTTTTCTCTTACTGTCTGTGCTTTTGGTATCATATTTAAGGAAGCATTAGCTAAACTGAGGTTAGGAAAATTTATCACTGCATTTTAAATTATTTTACTTTATTTATTTACTTATCTAATTATTTTTGAGATGGAATCTTGCTATGTTGCCCAGGCTAGTCTCAACCTCCTGGTCCCAAGAAATCTTCTAGCCTTGGTCTCCCAAAGCCCTGGGATTACAGGTATGAGCCACCGCACCCAGCCTCACTGTTTTTGCTTATAGGAGTTTTATAGTAGTAACTCATATATAGGCCTTTGATTCATTTTGAGTTAATTTTTATATATTATGTTAAGTATGACTCTGTTGTTAGGTGCATGTATATTTATACCTGTCACATCTTCCTGATGGGTTATCCTTTTATCATCATAAAATGTAATCTTTATCTTTAGTGATTAAAAAACAAAATCTAAGCCGGGCTCAGTGGCTCAGCCTGTAATCCCGTGCCTTTGGGAGGCTGAGGTGAGTGGATTGCCTGAGCCCGCGGGTTCGAGACCCGCCTGGGCAACTTGGCGAGACCTCATCTCTACAATAAATCAAAAAATTAGCCGGGCATGGCAGCGTGCGCCAGTAGTTCCAGCTACTCGGAAGGCTGAGGTGGAAAGATCGCTGGAGCCCAGCAGGTCGAGGCTGCAGTGGCCGGGAGCGTGCCACTGCACTCCAGCCTGGGCGACAGAGTGAGACTCCAACTCAAAAAAAAAAAAAGAAATAGAAAATCTAAACAAACTTATAATATAGTTTTTTTTGTTATTGTTTTAAAAAAAACCTTCCCAGCCGGGTGCAATAATTCCAGCACTTTGGGAGTTGGAGGCAAGAGTACTGCCTGAGCCCAGGAGTTGGATACTAGCCTGGGCAACTTGGCAAGACATCGTCTCCACAATAAGTCAAAGAAAAAAAAAATTAGCCGGGCGTGGTGGTACATGCCTGTGGTTCCAGCTACTTGGAAGGCTGAGCCCAGCAGGTCAAGAGTGCAGTGACCTCGAGCATGCTACTGCACTCCAGCCTGGGCGAGAATAAGACTCTGACTCAACAAACAAACAAACAAACAAACCAATAATGACAAACTCTTCCAGGAAACAGAAGATAAGAGACCATTTCCCAACTTATCAACTGAGGCCCAGTTACCCTTATACTCAAACCAAAGACACTATAAGAAAACCACACCACTGATGGCTCTTACGAATACAGATGCAAAAATCCTCAACAAAATACTAGCAAACCAAATCCAGAAAAATGTAAAGAGTATTGCAAGCCACGACAGAGGGAATTATCCAAGTAATGCAAAATTGAACATATGAAGATAAATTACTTAATACACCACATTAAGAGAGATGGTGAGACTTCATCTCTACAATCAATCAAAAAATTAGTTGGATGTGGTGGTACACGCCTGTAGTTCCAACTATTTGGAAGGCTGAGGTGGAAGGATCACCTGAGCCCAGCAGGTCAAGGCTGCAGTGACCATAAGTATGCCACTGCACTCTAGCCTGGGTGACAGAGTAAGTCTCAGACTCAAAAAAAAAAAGAGAAGGACAAAAATCACATGATCATTTCATTAGACACAGAAAAAGCATCTGACAAAATCTAACACCCTTTCATGAAAAACACATTCAACAAACTAGGAAGAGAAGGCAATCTCCTCACCTGAGGTGGGCATTTGTAAAAACCAACAGCAAACATCACACTTAATAGTGAAAAACTGCAAACCCTTGGCCAGGTGCGGTGGCTCAGTCTATTACCGTAGCACTCTGGGAGGCTGAGGTGAGAAGACTCTCTGAACCCACAGGTTCGAGAAAAGCCCGGGAAACTTGGTAAGACCCTGTCTCTACAATAATAATAATAAAAAAATTAGCTGTGTGTGGTAGCACATGCCTGTAGTTCCTGCTACTTGGAAGGCTGAGGCGGAAGGATCGCTGGAGCCCAGCGGGTTGACACTAGGGTGAACCACTAGGGTGAACTCCACTGAACTCCAGCCTGGGCGATGGAGTGAGACTCCAACTCAAAAAAAAAAAAAAAGGTTGGGCTCGGTGGCTCAGCCTGTAATCCTGTGCCTTTGGGAGGCTGAGGTGAGTGGATTGCCTGAACCCTTGGGTTCATGACCCACCTGGGCAGGCAAGACCTCATCTCTACAATAAATCAAAAAATTAGCCGGGCGTGGTAGCGCATGCCTGTAATTCCGGCTACTCGGAAGCCTGAGGCGGAAGGATCGCCAGAGTCCAGCAGTTCGAGGCTGCGGTGGCCGGGAGCAGCCACCTCACTCCAGTCTGGGTGACAGAGTGAGACTCCAACTTGAAAAAAAAAAAAGGCCAGGCGTGGTGGCTCACGCCTATACTCCCAGCACTTTGGGAGGCCAAGGTGAGAGGACTGCCTGAGCCCGCGGGTTCGAGACCAGCCTGTGCAATGTGGCGAGACCTCATCTCTACAATAAATAAAATTTTTAAAAATTAGCTGGGCATGGTGGCACATGCCTGTAGTTCCACCTACTTGGAAGGTTGAGGAGGAAGGATCGCCTGAGCCTAGCAGGTGGAGGCTGCGGTGGACAGGAGCATGCTACTGCCTCTAGCCTGGGTGACACAGTGAGACTCCAATTCAAAAAAAAAAAAGAAAAGAAAAACTGAAAACCCTTAAGATCAAGAACAAGACAAGGATGTCTACTCTTGCTACTATTATTCGATAAAGTACTTGAGGTTCTAACTAGGTCAGTGAGGCAAGGAAGAAGTAAAACTACCTCTATTCAGATAACATAATCTAGTATATAAAACATAGCAAGGAATCCACTAAAAAAACTAACAGAATGCTATAGGATACACAATTAATATACAAAAACCAAGTGTATTTCTACAACTAGTAATAAACAATACAACATAAAACTCAGAAAACAATTCCACTGAAAACAGCATTGGCCAGGCTCGGTGGCTCAGTCTGTAATCACAGCACTTTGGGAGGCTGAGGCAAGTGGATTGCCTGAGCCCACAAGTTCAAGACCAGAGTGGGAAACTTGGCAAGACCATGTCTCCATAAAAAATAAAAAATTAGCTAAGTGCGGTAGCGCATGTCTGCAGCTCCAGTTATTTGGAAGGCTGAGGCGGAAGGATCGCCTGAGCTCCGTAGGTTAATGCTGGGGTGACCATGAGCGTGCCACTGCACTCCAGCCTGGATGATGGAGTGAGACTCCAACTCAAAAAGAAAGAAAAGAAAAGAAAAGAAAACAGCATCAAGCCAGGTGCCGTGGCTCACATCTATAATCCTAGCACTTTGGGAGGTGGAGGCGAGAGGACCGCCTAAGCCCACAGTTTTGAAACCAGCCTGGGCAACTTGGTGAGACTTCATCTTGACAATAAATAAAAAAATTAGCTGGGTGTGGTGGTGTGCACCTGGGGTTCCAGCTATTTGGAAGGCTGAAGCAGAAGGATTGCCTGAACCCAGCAGGTTGAGGCTGTGGTGGAGTAAGCATGCCACTGCACTCCAGCCTGGGTGACAGAGTGAGACTGTGACTCAAAAAATAAATAAATAAGCTGGGCTCGGTGGCTCAGCCTGTAATCCCGTGCCTTTGGGAGGCTGAGG